GTCCTCAAAGTGCTTCTAGCGTGGTCGTGTGTGAGTCAGTCTCGGGGAGATATTTGGTCAGACCGAATTGCGGTCGGCAGACGCTGATGCACACGTGCAAGCAGTCGTGAGAGGCGAGAGGTTTAGCATTGCACTCGAAGTTGGGCTACTCCCGAACGAAGGGAGAATTTTCAAATTGATTTGATGCAATACGTACCAGCGGTAGTGTTGTGGAGCGCGTGGGTGACTGCGGCTGACAGAAGGGGACCACTTTGATAATGCGACTTGAGAAATCCCGCAGATGGTTTGCGTGTCCACAGAAAATATATATGTCATGTCCGTTCTGAATGAATTGAATTATGAGAGATATGGGTTGGTCTGTAGGTTTTCTCTTCAACGTGGTTGCAGCATTAAGCATTGCAATAGATTTGCTAGGAAACTATCGAGATTTGTGTTAACGGCAGCATACCCTAAGTTGCATAGAAGGACCACCAGCTACTGACTGGTGTCAATCATCTTCGACTGTTCTGCGGGCGGAGAGCTTTAATAGCCGGAAATCCACAGAGAATGGTCTGCCAGACTCCGGGCTGCTGCTGGCATTCTTCTGTTACCTCGGTACTGGTTTTGCTTAAAAATTGGCCCGGATAGGCATTGGCTAAGAAAATGTTTTGCAGGGTTAGGCCTTCAGCTGCTCTTTTAACCACCGGTCTGTAATGCGTTTTAGTCTTTTTGAACAGCGTAGGGAAAGGGCTATTCTTTTGTAAGAGAAACCATCGTATTCTCCTGGTTATTCGCTTTAAAAGCTGTTTGTCAATATGCCTTTTCAATCGTACACGAAATTGGAAATTTTGCAGAATTATTCACTTTAATCAAGGTCTACCCTAAGGAAATAATTTGAGTGCCTGTGAATCTCACAGCCGCTTTTCTGTAATCTAATTAATAACCGTTCGCGACACGTTTCTTCCTTGAGACAAAAGAATGTTGGTTTCTGCATAAGCTTGCGTAAGGGTCTGAGGAAATCAAAAATGCAGCAGCTGAACTCTGAAACTCAGAGGAAACGCTTTCCAAAAAGGGATGACTGAATATGATCCTTCAATAATAAATGACCCTGGCGTTTGATCGGCGACCAAAAAGACTTGCAACCGCTTATATTTCACTCGCATGTCAACCAGACACTAGTCATCTGCCTCACTCCCCCGCATTTATTTAAATTTATTATTTCTTCGATAAATGTACGCACATGACATTTGGCATTAATTCAAAAAGGATTAACAATGGGAGGCTGTAACAATCGGCTACAGATATGAACGCCACCAGAGCTGACTCACGTTGCTTTCGACTGCCAAGCCTTAAGTTTTCGTGAGTCACAGCCTCCCCCTCACGCTTGCGGTCAAATCCTATGACTTCATTCATTTTCCCATAGTTCGAAGAAAAGTATTTTAGTTTGTCGAATGAAAACTGAAAAATTCCCAGACGCAAGCAGCACATTAATCGGAGCCTCTTAAGCAGACGGCTTGTACATTCTAGGGCCGTGTATAACTACTTTGATAGAAATGGTGTCATCTACAAAAAAATTTAATGTGTGAACCGCGATGCCGTCTATTGTAGACAAACATGGAAATCCGTCTCAAGTCGTGTACACTAACATCACTTTCCAGTGAGGAGGTGGCCAAGTGCACACTGAACATTGTTCAGAAAGTTGCGTGGGAGAACACTTGTGTTTTATTGCGCATGCCCAATAAGGCAATGAAATCCGATCAGCGTATCGCTTAGATGCCACATTTAAGTTTGTCATTGACAAACTTAAATGAAAACCGCCAATCCAGCATGCATGATAACACTTAATTCAGCCGTACTTTCGTAAATGTCGGCCAACCGTAGAAGCCTTTTTCAGACACGGCTTATTAGCTAATTTGTGTGTAAAATACCCATCGATCTACGAAGCATCATTTTTAATATATGCACAAATAAGATACCAAAGAAGACAAAGAATAGGCTATGAATATGCTAAGCCTGCAAACGGTCAAGGTATGAGAGAGATAAGCCGTCGAATTGAACGTTGTGGACATCTGGTTATATTTTGCATCAGATAATACATATAATACAGATAATATGTTTTCAGGTTTGTTTTAAAAGTATTAAAAATGCCTTTTCGGCGAGTGAGGCGTGGCAGACGAAAATTTAATGTTTATTTTTTTTACATGGTATCATAGTGCTATTATTTTCTCAATGAGAAAATGTTGTGGATTTTCCCATACACTACTCTCTGGCAGATTTACAGCGGGTGTTCTAGCACGCAGTATTTAGACTAACAGCCTTCAAAGCGCTTTTATAAGGTAGCTTATAAGAGACCTTCCTGTTTCCTGATACAGATTTTTCATGTTAAGGTGGGTATACAAATATGGCCTAAATGTTTATGTTCATGCGAAAGAATATCCCGAAACTCACTAATTTGGTAAATGCTTTCGAGCTATATCTTATTTTGAAATCTTTGATAAATAGCTTGAAACTACGGGAACTTGTAAAGAATTCACCACCTTATCAAGAACGCTTTGAAACTAAATGTAAACTTGCACCAGAAATACGTATGATTAAATTTGACGAACACAGCCTTTTCTTAATATACACCAAATGAAATGTTGAAGATTTCACCTAACTATTCGCCGTACTATTATTGATCACCACTTCAACGGCTGTTAGCGTTCGCGCTCTAACAACGTTGATATTTCAAAATATATTATCATTACTTTTGTTTTCATCATCGCTAGAACAGTAAGAAGAAGATGGGGCAATTCCTGAGACCAATTTATATTAAGGCTGACATTTCAAAAGCATTCTCGCTTCCACCATCAGAGTATACGTCTATTCTCCTGCCGGCGTCGAATAAGTGTGTCTTAACGCTAACCTTGGGCGCGTAAATATCAGTCTTTCATAAATGTTGGCCTTGTGTATGTGATTAATCATCTACTGTATCTCCATGTTCTGATTCAACCATAATATTAAGTCTAACGCAAAATCTTACCACCCACCCTAACCCTAACCGTACTCCCACCCAAACTCCAGTTTCTCTGAGATGTAACGCTAGATTACCTGTTTTACGCGGGATTTGTGGTCCCGCCTCTTAGTATGGACTTCTCATAAAAAAGGATACATTGAGTTCTTCGTATGAACTGATAAACGACATGAATATACCTTTTCCTTATGGGTATTCTTGGCTTGTAAAGGAGACCAAGGCTTTCACTCTACTTAACGGTCATTCGATAGTTAGACTTCTTAGTCGAACACCCCTCTCCTTGCATCCGAATTATCTCAACAATTTGACCTAAGATCTCTGAAATTATCGGAAATGAAAGAAAAAGTTTGAAAATGGGAATGAAAACCAATAAACTAAGCACACAGGGACGTATCAAAAGTGCACCGGTAGGGATGGCTTCTCTGGCCCCCGTACTTAGGTCACGGGAATAGGAACGCCCGATTCAATGTGGCCTAGCGCAAACCCCTTGGAAGAGTTAATATTCTCATGTCATAATCCAAATACTAGGCCATACCTCAGCCTGTACCGTAGTCCCATTCTTAAGTCTAATCGCAGGCTGAATCCTAACGCCACAATTAACTCTAAAACTAACCTTAAGTCAACCTTTAAACCTAAGCCTTTATCAGCTGAGAATTGACGCAAAGTACCCATTACTGCGAGTAGTTCCTTTTCTCATATTCTTTTTAGGAAGAAATATAAGTAATTCTTACCAATGTGCCCTTTGTCGTTTGTATCCCGAAGAAAACTAACCCGGGTGGCTGACAGTTCATAAATTCGGTCTTGATACCATCCGTCAAATGAATTCTCGCAGATCCGTTAGACAAACCGTAGACCATATTCAACTGCTAGCTAGGGAATTAAAAACTCAGAAGGCGCATATAGAGTTTGTGATGAACTGGCATATTGAAAACTGGGATACTCAATTTTAGGGACCTAAACAGTCGTGCATTTTACCTTTTAACCTAGTCTGTTTCGAAAAATTTTGTTTTTGCATGCAATTTACTTTTTTGAAATAGTGCACAGCAGTTAGGTTGTTTCTGCGACCTCTAACACAGACCAGAGCATCAACAAGCTTAAATTGCCAACTCCATCAAAGATCGTAACAGAGTTTGTTTATCCACAATTCCAGAAAAGTCAAAAATTGTCATGCCACTTCAAAACTTTCTCTAATATGCCCATCAAAACACGGATTATAAGCAGCCTTAGGGTAAGCCCACGGTCCAAAACTAACAAACCAGAACTTTTCGTGTACATTTTGGCATCGATCTTCCTATCCCAATTCTAACTTTACTTGAATTATGCATACAGTCTTCCCTCCCTCTCTTAGGAACAACACAGGTCGTACAACATTCGTAGTTATATGGAATTTCTCCATCAGTCTACCTGGGGCCATATCTGAATAGTCAAAATATAAAAGCGCTTTCTTTTCCAAGCCAAAAAGAGAAAAGAGGACCAGTATTTTTGATGAATTTACTATTAAGTTGATAAATATAAATATACATATATATCGTTAAATGATAATCCAACAAACGCGGCGCTGTGTCGGTGCAGACCAAATTCTGCGTGTTTTCAAGATATGCTCGGCTTTGGATCTGAGTTGTGCGTAATATTGACCCAAACGCGATCTAAATGCTATTTCAGTCAGAAGGGGTTCAGCAGTAGAGCAAAAGTCGCCTCAGACTAAAAATATGGGTTCAATGAATCTTCCGTTCTCCTATTCATAACTTTGACTCCACAATATGGCAGATTTGTTCTTCTTCTGAATCGATTCTTCCAGAGCAGTAACAGCAGAGGGGTCAGAAAGCATAAGGACAAGAAGACTGGATTTGGCTTTCTTGGTGTGTTGCAGGAAGATCAAACCTTCTACGGTATCATCCCGTTTCAGTTGAACCACTTCATCATACGGCAACTTGATGAGGGGTTTCTCCTTGCTGTTTCGGTGCAGAGTGAGACAGTCCTCGGAGCCTTTGAATATAACCGCCGTTTGTACTCCCTTTTTTTCGGCAACCGCCTTGAATAACTTTGAGATTTCATCCAGAGTGACGTAGTTGATGGCTTTGGAACGATTGTTGAGTACAACGGCGCCTAAGCTGCTGAATATTACTTCGTTGTCTTTCTTGTGCATGCTGTAGTCTTTGGCGGGAAGAAATGTTAATTTTGGTCGCAGGAGTAAAGTCCTACGAAAGTTTAGGACTTTTATTGTGCACAAATGTGTGCACGTACACTAGTCGCACGTCTAGTGGTCAGGTTGGCAGCATGATCTATCAATTGGCACATGTGGGACTCAGGTTTGCACTAACGTGATTGGTGGGGAGTTAGTGGAACTTGCGCTCTGCAGCCTTACAGAAAAAAAGAAACAGAGTAAGGTTAAGAAGTTTTATGGATTGTTTTTTGCCTGCACGCAGCCTACTCTGGGAGACAAAGGGCTGTATATGCATATGGTTTTACTGACAATAAGAAAAAAAATTTGCCCCACCTTTTAATAGCTCAGCGGCCTCGGTGGAATTCGAAGACACGATAGCATCCAGAATGTTCTACCACAAACGCTGCTCTAGAAATATCTCTCCAGTGAACATTTATGAAGCCAACTGATTGGGTTTTGTTATTGTGGTTTCTCTAGGGAGTGCAGATGACGGAGGTTTTGATAAAAGATTGGGGAATATCACAAGTGGAGAAACCGAATTATGGGCTATAATCACGGCAGAAATAAGGTCATAGTACTCTCTTGCAGAAAACTCTGTACCCCAATGGTGCCCTAAGGCTGAAAATGCAAGCTTGAGCTCATAAATGGCTAAACGAATTTCATGGATTAGGAAGAGGAGGAGTTATTTACCTCGTTTGTGTATTTTATGTGGTTAATTAAGCACCCTTTACATAGCTCTTCACTGTGACCTTATTAGTAGATGATAGAGGCAGCGATAACATAAGTAACATCTTTCAATGGGCACACCGTATTCTCTCTTGAATTCGATTTTTTTTTACTAAATTTTCACCGGATCACAATAAGGGTAATTTTTCAACGCATTTTCATAGGCTACATGCATTTCATTTTCAAAACTACCTGCGAGAAAGCTGTTCTGTTCGGTGTTTTTGCTACTGGCTCGGCATAAAAGTTGGTGCATTTACCTGGTCCGTAATAAACAAATCCGAAAATGTAATGGATTCTACTGAAATAATTACGGACGTTCTTGAATACATCAATAAGGATTCCCGACAGTTAAGAAGTCTTGACTTGATACACAATTAACAGTTTTTTTATAAGATTTCCAGCTATTATGAATGTGAGTCAGCACTCGTATTACCCGCCTTAATTGCCGTTGCAAAAAACGCTACTCAAGCGGTACGCATGGCAAGTCTACCTTTTTTCGGTATTATAAATGATTAAGAATTTATCATGGGAAAGACTCTACTTTTAAAATTGGCATCCGATCACATCGAGAGACGAAGGTCGCCACAAAATAAGGACCAGTTATAAGGGGTAGAAGTCAGTCAAATACCAGTAACGCGAGTCCGGTACTAACAGCACTAATAAACTGGGTTGATCGGATTTCTTTCTATCGTACCGAGAATTGGGGCCATAGAAAATTCTTACGCTATATTGTAGCTATTAAGTCCCACAGTAAGGTCTGTTAAATTCGAATGTATTTATTGTGTTATATAGGGATTCTACTAAAACGTGAATTGGAAACGAATTGGTTAGGGAGCGATCGAGTTTTTTTTAATAAAAATTTAGTATGTATTAGATTGCACTGCCCAGCATTTGAAACCTTAAAATCGGACCTTTAGGCGAAAATCTGTAGCGAAAAACGCTCCAGTATAAGGACAAAATATTTCTTTCATTTTAAGTAGACTTCTCAACACTGTCTTTGGGGAAGTTCAAAAACTAGTCAAAAATTTTCATCTTCCCTTTCGGTTAACTTGGGGAAAAACAAGAAAGTACAGCGATATTCGTCAGCCAAATAGCGAATCAAAGCTCTTGTTAAAGAGGTAGCTAATACGAGAACATTTTTAAATGATTTTAGGCATATAATTGGCGGTGTTTTTGTGGACGTTTATTTTTCTCGACATTGAGTTTTTATGTTTGTGTGGGTCAGCAAATATGATCGAATGGCTCACCTTCATGTGAAAGAATATCTGAAAATGCACCATTTCGATAAACCATTTTAAGAAATATCTTCCTTTTAAGCTTTTGATAAATACATAGGACAGCAACAAAATTTAAGGCTAATAGCTTGAAAATGCGGAAATTCGTGAAGAAGTCGCCGGTATATCAATGATGATAGTATGCTAATTGTAGCTGCCAATACAAGTAAACATGCGAGTCCCAGGAAGTAATTGAGAAGAAGACGACTGAATCGCTGGAACAATACATTTTTCGCCTGACGTTTCGAGATCCGTCGTGGATTAGTCATCAGAGGTCCTTCATCAGGGATGAAGGTGGCCACATAAAAGCAGTGGTTAAAGGGGTAGGAGTCAATTAAACATCAGTAACGCCACATCTGAAATAACTGCGCATGGCTCCGTATTCCGGTATATAGATCGATTTTATTCACCAAAAGAGCCGTAGGTATTGTGTCTATGTTATATGGACATCACCTTTTTGATAGAAGGAAAATGCTGCAGAATTAAAAAGAAGTAAAGCACCCATACCTAGGCGTTACTGTTACAAGGATAAAAACTCCTCTTCTTGGTGGCCCAATCCCTCTGTAAGTCCAACCGGAGCGAAAGACCGCAGTCCGTCGATGGTCAAAAACCCCTGTTACGTCGCCCTTTGTCCGTGGGTTTTTATTGAGGCATTTCTTTGAATGGCTGGTTTGCAACAGCCTTCGAATTAACAGGTGAACACTTGCATTAGCCTATTTTGATATTCAAGCTTAAGTCGTCAACAAGCTCCTTCCGGATGTAGGGGGAATATTTATTTCATACCGGTTAATATTTCCGGTGTTCTAATGTCGAAAATGCCCTCGGTACTTGTATTTGAGATACTATCTTGCGTGGCACGTGCACCGGTGACTTAATTCGCAAGAGATCAATTGAAATTCGGAAATATTATCCTTGTGAGAACGGATTACTTTGGTGATATTATCATCTTAATTGCAATGCAGCCTGATTACAAAATGTCCCGGTCACAGCAGAATGGTGGCTTTTAAATGTACGTTTCACTAGTCGCCTCTAAGCACGACACTTTAAAAATGACTATTGGTTTAGTACTGGAGACCAGTAAGGGAGATAAGTGGCTTACGGTCGACATGACTGTCAACTCTCATGAGAATTTCGGCACAGATCGTTTTAAAAATGGAACCCACGTGGCCTAAAGTGAATGCATGGGAAGATTAAATTATTTTGATCAAGTGAAAATATAGTGAGTAATCAAATTCATGAGAGAATACGGATGTGTTTTTTTTGCAAATTATTACTTATTGTATCGCTGCGCCGATCATCTTTTAACCATGACGCAATGTAGGGGTATGCGAAGTATTTTTAATTTAATCGCATGAACTACGAAGTAAAGTAACTAACTCCTCCCCCTCTTTCCTTTGTTCCCCTCCTAATCCATTAAAATGTGAAAGACTTTTTCCCAGCCGAGGCTTGCATTATAAGCCCCAGGGAAAAGTTGGAATACAGCACTTTCTGGAAGACAATATTGAACACTTTTATGACTTTCTTTCTAGAATGCTTGCAGTCCGGCATGTGGCTGCCCCAGTTGTGCTCTTTTCCGAATTATCCAATTAAAACTTCCATCATTTACAATCTTTATGGGAACCAAAAAGCGCCTGATATTTGGTTGAAAGGATTCTGCGTTGACTTCTTATTAAGTCCTTCTTAAACAGTCAGCTAACTAAGGCAGAAGTTAAAGATTCCATAAGTTGTAGTATACGGGACAAGTAATTTGATTAAACTCGCGGCTCCTAACGGGGCCTCGTACTTCAGGTTGATAAAGCGTTGGCTGCATTAGAGCCTTCATGTTTCTCTCGTGTCTTAGAGTCCCATCGAGACCGCTGAGCGTTTACTAATTAATTGAGAGGGAATTTTATTGTTAATAAAACCATATACATGTACGGCCCGTTGTCGCCCAGCAAAGGCTGCGCGCAGGTAAACAATGCAATATGTCAATCTACTTCAAAATACTTTTTGTAAAACTGTAGAGCGTAGGCTTTCTCAACCCCTCCACCAATCAGGTTGCTACAAGACTAATTGCTACAGGTGACAATTGATAGATCATTCTGCTTACCTAACCACTAGTTTTGCGACTATTGTACGTACACACATTTCTTCTCCATAAAAGTGCCGAATTATCGCTGGACTTTATTCCTCTAACCCTTACGGTGACAGATATTTTGGAGCTCTTCTTTCCAAAGACCACAGCATGCCCAAGAAAGGCAATGAGCTACTTTTTACCAGCATAGGCGCTATTGCGCTCAACGCTCATTCCAAAACCGTCAGCTACGTCACTCAAGATGAAATCTCGAGGTTTTTCCAGGTGGCTGTTCAGAATGAGGGAGAACAAACGGCAGTGATAATCAAAGGCTCCGAAAACTGCCTTACCCTGCACCTTAGCAGCAAAGAGAGACCGCTCGTCAAGTTGGCATATGATGGTGTGGTTCAACTGAAACGGGATGATGTCATACAGGGTCTGGTCTTCCTACAATACACGAAGAATAACAAGACTAGTATATTTGTTCTTCTGATTTCTGATCCCTCTACGGTCACAGCCCTGGAAGAGTCGATTCAAAAGAAGAACAAATCAGCCATATTATGGAGTCAAGCTTGTGAAGCCTAGGAGGAGGGACAGTTTCTTGAATCCAGTGAGCATTTACATCGCGTTCGGATCAATCTTTTACTTGGCTCAGATGACAGGTCAGGAAATTCTTCAAAAACGCATAATTTTGTTTGAGCCAACATAGCGCCGCATGCGTTTTCCCAGGCGCAGCGATGTTGGATTATCATTTTCTGATATATATTTATATTTACATTTGTATTCCTAATAGTAAATTCATCATATATACTAGCCCCCTGTTCTCGTTTTGGTTCGGAAAAGCAAGAGCCTTTATAGTTGGACTACTCAGATACGACCCCAATAGACTGGTGGCGAAGTTCGTATAATTGCGAAGGTTGTACGGCCTGGGGAGGGGAAGACTTTATGCATAATTCAAGAAAAATTTGATTCCGAATAGGATGATTGATGCCGAAATCTACATGAGAAGTTCTGGTTTTTAAGTTTTGGGTCGTAGACTCAGCCCTCGGGCTGTTTGTAGTTGGGGTTTTTGGTGAAGATAGTAAGGAAAGTTTTAGGAAGGTAGCACGTTGATAAATGAAAATTTGCGAGTTCTTCAACAGACATCATCTCGGGAATTGCGGATGAATGAACTCTGTTGCAATCGTTACTGAAGTTGACAAGTCAAGCGTTGGAGTCCGCAAAGGCAAGTTAACTTATGTGCATTAGTTGAATAAATATCCGGCGCGCATAGACAAAATTTTGTGGAATTGGTTAGATTAATAGGGGAAATGCACAACTGTGTAGGTCCCTAAAATTGATTATCCCAATTTCCAAAATGCCGCTTCATCACAACCTCTATATACGCCTTTCCAGTTTTTAATTCCTTAGTTAGCAAGTGAATCTGGTCTCCGGTTTGTCTAACGGATCTGCGAGAATTCATTTGGCGGATGGTATTCAGGCCAAATTAATGAACATTCAGCTGGTTAGTTTAGCTTTTTTGGACGAAAAACGACAAAGAATACGTTGATGGGGATAACTTATGCAGTAGCAAAACAAAAAATGTGGGCGGGAAGTACCCGCACTATACAGACTTTGCGTCAAGCTCCAGATAAATTAGGGTGAGTTTTAAAGTAGACTTCAGGTTAGGTTTATAGTCAATGTGACGGTTAGATTTAATGGTAGCGTTAGAGCTTAGCCTGCGATTAGGCTTAAGATTAGGATAGGCTTAGGATTACGGTATGGGAATGTTTCCCTTTCCTAGAATTTTGCGCCATGCCACCTTGAGTCATCCGTCTCTATTCCAATGACATATTTAGAAGAGCAGCGAAGTCATCAGTACCGGTACACCTTTGATAGGCCCTCGTATGCTCGGTGGATTGCCTACCATTCATAATTTTGACGTGTTTCTTTGTTTTCGCCTAATTAACGGGATCTTAGGTCAAATTGGGGGGATAATTTGGATGTTGGGAAAGAGGTGTTCGGCCAATTAGTCTGACTATTGAATGACCAGTTGTGAGAGTGGAAGGCTCGGTCTCCTTTGCAAGTCAAGTACATCCTTAAGGAAAAGGTAACTTGATGTCGTTTATCTGTTTATCAGAAAGACCCACTGCATTCTTTTTGAGGAAGACTCACTGGTAGGACGCGGGGTCAAAAATAAGTGACCCAGCCTTAAATTTCAGGGACACTAGGGTTAGGGTTAGGTTTAAGAAAGGAATACAGTTAATATTAGGGTCGAGATTAAGGTTTGGGACAATAATTTATATAAGAGTTTGGGTTAGAACAGGAGAATACGCTAGATGACCTAACTCATGCAAAATGCCAAAATTACGATATATTGTTAATCACCCGCAAGCAGGCATTTAAGCATGTATTAAAACTTTGAAATAATAGTGAGCCACATTTAGCCAAGGTAAAACTTAATTCATGTATGAAAAGTAATTGTAATTTGTTTGGAAATACTAACGTTCCAAAAAGAGGTAAACGCCGAAAATGTGAATATTCGCTAAAACGACGAACAATAAAAGTTCGGCCAATGGTAATGTGAACTACTCAACATATCTTTTTGCAAATATTAGGAGAACGCTTGTTCCGTCAAAATTCACAATGCGTATTTCTGATATAAGATTAAAAGTAGTAGCAGACCATCCCAGCTACACCAGCGCCTTGTTCGCGACATTCCGTGTTTTCAGGCGATTGACTTTAGATTCTGTTCTTTTTGTCTATCAACACACTCACAATAAGATGTAACTTACAAGCAATTACAGTAGTATTACCCCTTTTGGAAGAGGACTTTTTGGGTCACTTTTGTTGATCCCCACTCCCTCAAAGAAAGAAAACTCGGTGTCGAGAAACACGAACGTTGACGAAAACGTCAGCGGTTATTATGTCTTACCTCAATTAAAAACGTTTCGTGCAATCAATCTCTTTTAAAAGAGACTTCGCTACTTATTTGGCTAACGAATATCTGTGTACTTTCCCTTCTTCCAGGGCTGTATCGAAATAAAAATGTCCATTTTTTAACTTTCTCAAAAACTGGTGAAATCATTTCTATCTAAAATGAAAGAACTCATTTTTCTATTTATACTGGAGTAAGTTACGTTATGTTTCTCTGCTTTTGCATTGGGTTCTAAGACTTCAAATGCTCAGCAGTGTGGCTAATATCTATTAACGTTTTGTGAACACTGATTGCCTTCTATCCGACCCCTCCCCCCAGCGTTTCTAAATTACGGATTATTGGAAACTATATTGAAGACAAAATAATTTTGTACTAGGCTTTGAATTTAGCTTTGCTTATTGTGGGCGTTTATATCCACGGTATCATGTACGTATTTTTAAGAATTCCAATTCTCGATGTGGTAATAAAAATCTGGTTGCAGTTTGTGACCAAAAACGTCTAAGCTGTGCAAAATATTTGCCTTGCTTGTTAATGGAAAGCATTGCGATTACACAGACTTCCCTTCTCCTGATTTTGCTTGACTAAAGACAGTAATAGAATAGCATTGATTTATTTAACACCTTTATTGCTTATATGAATGCTCTTTTAGATCTCAACATACACAAACAAGAAGTTTTGTTCTATGGTATTAAAAAGTATAAGACATTTATTTGATAACCACTAAGCTCCGATCGCGTCCAGATCTTAACAGTACTCCTTTAACAAACAGGCTTGGAACTAGAGTTTTTTGGTAAAATGTTTTCTAACCCTCAAATTCATAAAACAGATCCACACAACAAGGCAAAATTTACACAGATGACGGCATTGCATTGGTAGGTCACCTACCATATGTGCCGTTACATTAATTGTGTGTGACTTTTCCTGTATTATTGTAGGCAAATTTCTACTCCTGTGTCTTGCCCTGCTAGTATCAAGTAACCTCTATATTGTGGATCTGGTACACAGACGTTTTTCTGACGGTATTTTCCAGACACTAGGTTTAATTTCATCCCCAACTATAGTTTATGGCCTGTCTGCCATTATCGATCAGCCAATTTCTATGCACAAATCGGTTGGGCATTGAAGTTGGCTGCAAACTACCTCAAGTATGGTACTCTCGCCTTTCACTAGATGAGGGGCGTTCTTTAACTTCTGATTTTTTCCCTGTGCAGCGTGCGAAAAAGTACGGGGATTTCTACCTGTGGGGTTTGCAAAAAAGTAAATCAGGATGATAAAAGTCCCATTATTCTGTGCTTGGTAAAACATGGTAATGAAGCCCGTGGAAGGAGCAAGTTCCACCTAGCCCATAGCGAGTCGGTTATCTGCTGAAAAAGCAGACCAACAACGGGCACACTGGTAGCTCGCAGCTTCCGACCCAATCATCGTGGGAGAGAGAGATAAGAGTGTGAAGCCTACTCTCCCGTGCGTTTAACATGGTGTCATCCCGCGTGTTACAATCGCGCCTACCCGGGCTCGATGTTGCCCCAGAAACTTGTGTCACGAGGCATTACGACCTTCTACACAGTCTAACGCAAAAAAGTGTATTCCGATTAGAGGCAAAGCATAACATATGCCTTCCTCAACAAGCGGATTTTAGTACTCGTGGCCTTTAAGCGAGTTACGAAGCGCTGCAGCATAATAACTGCCATAAATGGTCAGATCGGTTATCTGCGAGTTTTGTTTTAGAGGCAAATAGTAACCACGACCGTTTATCGAGCAGAGTCAGACGTACAGAAGCGGCAGAAATGCGGAAGCACGTGAGCCAAGTTCATGATGGAGGATTCCCTGCATGCGAAGAATGGTCGAAAGTTTATCCACACGGAATAGCGATCGTCCACAAGGCGTCGTCAACGGTCCGACGCAAAGTCCAGGTCATAAATAAAAACTAGCCTGCCGTTTTTCGGCTTAAATATTGGCTGAAAAAGATTACAACTACGGCCGATACCCTATAGCATTTAATGTCAACCGAAATTCTCAAATGTCTTTCCGATAAGAACCAATTACTTAAACAGGGTTTTAATACTTTCGTATAAACCGAAAGGCAGGCATCCCAAGAAATGTAATTTCATG